GAAAAATAATCGCTATGCTATGTAAATAAAAACAACAATTTGATAAACCTTGGCTACAATATCTGGACTTGTTTTCGTATAAATCAATGCTTAGATGTATGTTTATATGATTGTGGTTATGGTTGTACTTTATTAATCTCTGCCATTACGTACAATGATACAAGAAATGGTAAAAAAGTAAAAAACAGAGCAATGTAATACAATACTGTACACTATTCGACATTATTGTAAACAAATAAATAAAAAGTCCATCCCATGTGTTAGTGAATTTTTTAATATTTTAGGCAGGAAATTAGTTTTCAAATTTAGATATTTTTCTGGGTTGGGACGCCCAGACACTCTGGTAAGATTTCGTCCCCCCCCCCCCCCAATGTTGACTCCATGCCTACGGCCTTGGTACCTATGAAGGCCGGAAAGCCACACGCGGCGGTGGTGTGGCCAGAACCGCGTCCGGGCCACCTTTATCTCGATCTTCACGCTGCTGAGTGCAGCTGGGTGAAGTCGCGGAGCGGATGTGTGGAAGCATAGAAGTACTGCTCTACATGCATGTTTGGCCGCACTGCCCTCACGCTGCCCGCCACGAAGTCCCACAGTCAAATTATATAACCCGGGTTTGCATGGCGCCTCCACCTACCCTGCAAAGTGCTTTGATTCACGTCGTCTCGATATTCGCCGCACCTTTCAGGAACGCATCCCCGACGTAAACCGGAGTGCCACTCTACTTTTGTATTATCATGGCTCAAACCCTGCTTGGCTTTTGAGATCGGGGGGTGCGACCCGAGTTATTTTTATGTTATTACAATATTGTTGCCTGGATAATACACTGAGATGGAACGTCGCGTTTGCGGGGGGGGGTGTCCATGAATTGGTCCGAGTCTCGTATGAAAGTGACTGTCATCTAAATTAACGCTAACTTTAGCCGCAGCTATCAATCGTGTCAAAGTATATTGACGTCCTCTCCATCTTTGCAAATAACACTGCGAGCTGACACGGAGACGGGGCCGAGTGGTGGGTGACAGGTTTAAACAGAAAGTGCTGATCTCAGCGGATTAGACCGCCTTGCCTCTAATCCAGCTTTTCTGGGATTAATCCCTCCACTCACAGATACTCCTCGCATGCCCCGTGCAGGAGGCAGCGACAGGCAGGGAATTGAGGTGAGTGTTTGCACCCTGCCTTTTTCTTGTATCATCATTAGCATCGTTAGTACTGCCAGGCTATGTTAATTGTCATCGGTGTGTTACGAAGTTGCTGCTTAGGTTAATATCTAGCAATTATTTAAAATCACAGCCCTTTGTCATCCACTGGTGGGTGAAGGCGTTGGCCACAACGTGTCAGTCGTGACGATTGTTTTGACCATACTTCACCACGTTGGGTCAGTGCGGGTTGGTTAAGGCGTGGGGGTTGGATCCAGAAACCGGTCCATATATCACTCCCGACTGATGTTAGCCGTAGCCAGGAGTCGAACTTGGGTGGTCAGGTTCACAGCACAGCGAACTGTGCCGTGAACTTTATCAAGGTAAGCCTCGCTGGATCTCGACATTTTTTCTGGAGGGATCTGCATTGGAATATTTGACCAATAATAATCATAAGTAGCACCTACTCCTGTAAAATGCGTACGATGAATAACATGCTAATTTAAAATAACAGCATTTTTTCCCACTGCCTTTGAAAGGAAGGGTATATTTTGCCCAACGTGCCTTTAGATATATTCACTGGGTTTCCAAATGAAATTACATTTCTGTAATCCATTTCTAATACATGAAGTGACTGATTCAAAATTTATGTATTTGTCTGACCTATGGACTTGAGGTAAATCTTAAATACTGTAATTCTAGAGGGCCTAGCAAAGTTGAATATCTGCTTATATCTAGGGAAATTACAAATCTAATATTTTGCATGTATGGAAAAAATATGATCCGGGGATTGATCGTGTTGACTCATAGGGAAAGTTCGCCCAAAAATGATGCGTTACTTTCTCATAATTATCATCAATTAACCAAGTAAGTTGCCTTTTGTGGAGCGTGACGCTCAAAGCAATAAGTATCAAAGAAATCCCACTACCAGTTGAGTATATTAATGTATATCACCTGCTGAGTACTACTGTACATGCATTAATATTGTTTTAATGTGCGCTTATTTTGGGGTATGGTTTGTTTATCTGCCCTATGTATTTCCCAAGCACTTGTTATTTTAACTCACTGTTACAAGGTGGCCACGAGATGGATGCACGTAGCACAGATTCCAGCCTGACCTGCCCTCGCTCGACTTGAGCTGACATTCTGCCCTGACTTTAACTTGACCCAAAACCGACCTTCAATCGGACCTGTCCAGGTCTTAACTCAAGGACCCAGCTTGACCTGATCAAAAACAAGAATAACCTGAATTTATCTTGACCCGTTCCATATTGGCCTGAGCTAACGTGATCCGATGACGTGACCTGATTTCACTCAACCGGACCTGACCTCAATTGACCCCCACTGTCACCTCACCTGGCTTCATTCTGACCCAGCCTAAATCAACCCTAACCTTACCTGACCTTGACCCGACCTGGCCCCTTATGAGAAATCCTCAGCGAACACTAAAACATGTCCCTCTGTGTATCCCCCACTCACGACGCATGCGTGGGACAACAGGGACATGGGACGCAGCAGCAGCAACAACAAAAATATAGGTGACAGTAGCAGCAACAACAATAACAACAACAACAAAGGCGGCGACGGCAACGACAACGATAAGGTCAACAAGGATGGGTGAGTCTGGTGTGGGGCGCGTGGCTGGGCAGTCTCAGTACAGAGGTGTCTCTTCCCAGGTGTGGCCAGGTGCGTGTGTGTGTGCGTGCGTGTGCTCAGGTGTGGGGAGCAGTGGTGTCACGGTTGGCCAACCCGAGTTCGATTCCCGCTCACGGCCAACACACCAGTGACGATTTTCTGAATCGGTTCCGGACCTCTCCTGGGTCGACTCAGCCTCCAATGAATTCCTGTAGCGGTGTTTAAACATCCCCACTGGGGAGACAAAGGCGGCCGGTCGTGGTGCTGACCACCCACCCGCTCGTGTACCGTACCGGGCTTCATAGGTGCTTGCTAACGGCACTTGTCCCAACAGTCTGTTGTGGCTATGGGTGGGGGATCTTTGTCTTACATCTGCCAGTCATCTCAGTCAAACCCATAGCACCTGGGTCTGTCCGGTGATCTGTCATTGGGCGTTCGACACGTCACGTGGTCTTAAAGCGCACCTAGCCTGGCACAAGCGCCGCGGTGACATCAACGCCACTTAGTGGCGAACGGAAGTTGTTGCGTGTGCAACAGGTATCTCTCTTATTCTTGGTTCTTTCGGTAAAGTCACGTAGAAGGGAAATAATAAAAATATAGATGGACTCATCCATCTGAATAACTGCCAAATCGCTCTCCGTGGTGCTAACGTTAAAAAAGTCACTTTTTTCAAATTTTATTTCTGTGGTTTTCACACCTGATGATGATTACTTGTGTTGTAGTCGAAACGTCGTGAGCATTTTATTGTTTTATATTTTTATTATTTTATTGTTTCGCTTCTGCGTGACTTTACCGAAAGAACCAAGAATATGAATCCCTGCAGTCACGAAATCTTTAAATCAAGGTATATCTCTGTAGTGAGTTCAACTGAGTCACAGACGTAGACTTGGAGGCAACACATTTATTTAACTCCAACACACAAGATAACTTCCCCTTAACAGAATAACCACGTAACTGGTGTAGTTAGCCAGGTGGTGACCACCAGGCTAACTACACTAGTTACCACGTGACTGGTGTAGTTAGCCAGGTGGTGACCACCAGGCTAACTACACTAGTTACCATGGTACTGGTGTAGTTAGCCAGGTGGTGACCACCAGGCTAACTACACTAATTACAACGTAACTAGCTACTTCGGAGCGGGACCAACAGCTTTTGTCCAGGTCCACGTGTTGGAGACTCGTTGAACGAAGAACGTAGATCGTTGACGAAGGTTTCTTCCACAATGAACAACAACTCCGGTGCCTCTCGGGACCCGGCTTATATTCTCTGCGGCGTGGCCGGTTCCACCCTTGGCCACGCCCACCTTCCAGAATCCTCGAGCAGGATCTAGACCCCGACCACGTGACCACCCCTAGCCCCCCACTTGGGGCCCCTTTGTAGATTTAATTGGTCACGTGTCCTCTCGGGTCAACCAGAGTGCCATGGCCTCTAGTAACCTCATTCCTACGGCCAGCACTCCCACATCCTGTCCTGTAGGGGTCGGCACTGCACGCCAAGCGTGGTGCCATCCAGCGCTATAAATCAGCGCTCACCGGGCTCCTCTAGGGCCGGTACTACACCCACATCCACGTGGTGTCTGCGATGTCGTTACACCGCACGCCGTGACTCTCCAGGGCCGGCACTGCATGTTGACATCCCGCGATGTTACTACATCTGTACACAGTTGTGTCTCAGGTGTGAGCTTACAGGTGTGTAAGCAAGTGTCCACACGTGTCTACAAATCTCCAGATTTGAGTATCCAGATATCGGCTCGTCCACGTGAGCCCAGATGAGTTGTGTGTCTGACCTTGATCGGAGTTCGTTGACAGCACTTTTCCCAAGGATATATGTTGATATTTGTTTTGTGCGTACTCTTATGGCCAGGTTCAAGAGCTCAGATGTGCGTCTATGTCATATATATACGTACACTTAGGTGTTAAAGCGTGGATATGTGATATCAGCTGTGAACCCAGGTTTTTCTAGCCCCAAGTTGACTATAGCCCACGACTGACCACTGCTTATGATGATGATGTGCGGTGACCACGCCACACTCAGGGTTCCAGAGAAAAAGGAGCCCAAACCCCCACCTCCACCGCCCCCTCCGCCCCCCAAAGAGACCCCCAGGTGAGTACACGTACGCGTGTGTGTGTGTGCAGATGTGACTAAGCCTCAGCTGAGTTATTGTACCTGGTGCTGTCATCATTACCACCAGGAAGACAAAGGCGGCCGAGTGTGGTGCTGGCCAACCACTCCCTCGTGTAATGTGCCGGCCTTCGTAGGTGCCCGCGAACAGCACTTGCCCCCATAAGTCTATTAAGGCTATAAGGGTTGATGTTCTTGGTATGTCCGTGTTGTTATTTTGTATTCACATACGTTCGTGTGTAGAGCAGTGGTTAGCGCGCTGCGCTGCAAACCCAGAGTCTCGAGTTCGGTTCCCGCTCATGGCCAGCATGGCCAGTGACGATTATCTGAAATGGTACTGGGCCTCCCATAGGTAGACTCAGCCTTAAGTGAGTAGAGTAGTAGCTAGTGCGATATGCTGTATATACCTAAGAACTGTGGAGACAAAGGCGGCCAGGCACGGTGCTAGCCACACCACCCCCTCATGTCCCTTTCCGGATTCAATAGGTGATCGCTAAAAACATTTTCCCCAGCTACTGTTGTCTGTGCAGGATATTTAGATGGGTCTTTGTATATTCGAGTGTATATGTGGTGTGTGTGTGCGCGCAAGTATTTATGTGTCACGTGTTCATCCCTCCCTTTAACACTAATGGAAATGTGTTCATGCGTATGGCCCCATGAATCCCAAGTGACCCCCATCATGATCCCAAGTGTCCCCCGTGCCTTCCCGTGTTGGCCCCATGCGAGTCCATTTGCCCCCACGTACCAAATCATGTGTCAACCATGTGACCCCTCCCCCCATAAGACCCCACGTAATGTCACGTGACCCCACGTAATGTCACGTGAGCCCATTGTGGGCTCAGGCAGGACGCGTCGCTTCGAAGGGGCGATGGTCGGAGGTCGAGACTACGGAGTGGCAGCCAAATGAGGGAATGCACCCGAGAGGGCGTCCACCACGAAGATAGGGAGATGCAATAAGCTCGTGTTCTGGCGCTCGGTCGATTTAACATCGCAAGGGACCGTAAAAGGAATGGGCGACGGTTTTGAGCAGCCCTTCATCCAGCAGTGGATTGTTCATGGCTGACGATGACACATCACAGGACCACGTGACCACGTGGTGTGTCATCACCAGTGCCCCCATAGGACATCGCGTGACCTCCCCACGGGCTCCTGATTCCATGTGCACTTAATGTGACCCCCCCCCCCCACTCTCATTGCCCCTGCGGGGGTCTCCTTGTGCGCCCCCCTACCCTAGTCCCCCGAAGAAGGTGTTTGTCCTGGACCCCTCGAGTACCCTCTACTACCACTGGCTGTGCGTGGTGTCCGTGCCCATCATGTACAACCTCCTCATGCTCGTGTGCCGGTAGGGGCTCCCCGGGGGGGTCGGGTTGGTGGTGGTGGTAGCGATAATAATGACGACTGTTTGCGGTGGTCTTGGTGTTTTTGTTGTATCAGATGGTGGCGGTAGTCAAGGTGGTGGTTGTATTTGCAATGGTTGAAGACGATGGTGTTGTGTTGATAGTGGTTATGTTTGTGGTTTTGGTGGTGGTGATGCTGGTGGTGGTCATGGTGGTAAAAGTGGTGATGATGTATTCGTCGGTGGTGACCATTGGAGGTGATGATGCTGGTAGTTATAGTAGCGGTGCATGCTGTGTTTTGTCAGTATGGGGTTTCAATGAGGAGATTAATATATTTTTCACAGAACATGTGTTGGCATCCACATGACAGACAAAATCTCCATAAAGTTGTTGTTGGTGGTGGTGCAGGGCATGTTTTGATGAGCTGCAGACTGAACACACCTACACCTGGATGACCCTGGATCTGCTGTCCGACCTGTTGTACCTCCTCGACACCTTGGTTCGCATCCGCACAGGTTATAGATGCCTCATCACACCTCATCACACCTCCTCACACCTCATCACACCTCATCACACCTCATCACCAACGCATCTCTGATCTCATTGTGCGTTGTTACCCTCGACGCATCCATCACACCTCATCACACCTTATCACACCGCATTGTTACCCTCAACACATTGCACCTCCTCACACCTCCTCACACCAGCTCGTACCTGTTCACACCTCATACGTGACTTTTGTTTTACGCGTAGTTATCTTGAGCCCAACGTTGCAGCAGCCTTTTTTTCCATTAAGTTTTTCTTACACTTTCTGTACAGTTGCTCATTCCTGTTGACCATCACGATGGCTTTGTGATCGCCAACTGTGAGTTGAATGTTTCCTTCATTTATATATTATGCCTTTGTTTCTTTCTTCGATCCAGTTATCAGAAAACACCGGCCAGTGTTGCTGTAACACAAAAAGAAGGCCTCAATAATAATAATAAAAACATATTTAGATAATATATATGTAAATAACGCATTACACGAGGTACTGGCATACTTATTAGAAGTGGAGGCACACAAAGAGACACACTTTTGCCAACGTTATGCTCGTAAATGACTGTACTATACATTCTACATTTTACAATGACTACCACTAAAAGGAACAACTACTCGAACAATCGCAACAACCACCACCACGCTGACATGCATAACTCCAAGAATGACACTAAACACCTCACACCTCCTAACACCTCATTCACGACCCAGCGACACATCCAAACCCCTTTGTACCTCCTGACTGATACATGCCAGTGTTGGTGAGATGTGATGATGGAGAAGAGGTACGTACGTACGTGCAAGGGAAGGATAACAAACTACGCACACACACACACACGTGAGATCATGACGAGGTGTGGCGGTGATGGAGAGGTGTCGTGTTGTGCAGGGTTCCTGGACCAAGGTCTCCTCGTGCACGACTTGAAGCGTCTTCGACAAAACTACATGAAGACGCGGTTATTCAAACTCGACGTTGCGTCCATCCTTCCCACCGACATCGCTTATATATGGGTACTCACGGGGAGAGTAGGAGCAGTGCAGCGTGTGAGTTGAGTGCTGGGGGGGGGGGAGATGCAGAGTTTTGAGTGACAAAGGGCGTGTGGGATGATAGTGGCCTATGGGGTGTTCGTAATGTGGAGTGTGACTGACTGAGAGTGATGTACAATTCTGGAGAGTTGCTAAGAGTTAGTAGATTTCTGGAGAGTTCTGGAGAGGTCCATAAAAATGCCCAGAGCACTGGAAAGTGTGTCGATTTATGGAGAGTGCTGTAGAGTTCTGGAAAGTTTTATAGTTTTTGAGAGCACTGGAGAGAGTGTAGAGTACTATAGTGTGCTGGAGAGTTCTGGAGAGAGTGTAGAGTACTTGAGAGTGCTGGAGAGAGTGTAGAGTACTAGAGTGTGCTGGAGAGTTCTGGAGAGAGTGTAGAGTACTTGAGAGTGCTGGAGAGAGTGTAGAGTACTAGAGAGTGCTGGAGAGTTCTGGAGAGAGTGTAGAGTACTAGAGAGTGCTGGAGAGTTCTGGAGAGAGTGTAGAGTACTAGAGTGTGCTGGAGAGTTCTAGAGAGAGTGTAGAGTACTAGAGAGTGTTGGAGAGTTCTGGAGAGAGTGTAGAGTACTAGAGTGTGCTGGAGAGTTCTGGAGAGAGTGTAGAGTACTAGAGAGTGCTGGAGAGTTCTGGAGAGAGTGTAGAGTACTAGAGTGTGCTGGAGAGTTCTGGAGAGAGTGTAGAGTACTAGAGTGTGCTGGAGAGTTCTGGAGAGAGTGTAGAGTACTAGAGAGTGGGCTGGAGAGTTCTGGAGAGAGTGTAGAGTACTAGAGAGTGTGCTGGAGAGTTCTGGAGAGAGTGTAGAGTACTAGAGAGTGTTGGAGAGTTCTGGAGAGAGTGTAGAGTACTTGAGAGTGTTGGAGAGTTCTGGAGAGAGTGTAGAGTACTAGAGAGTGTTGGAGAGTTCTGGAGAGTGTAGAGTACTTGAGAGTGTGCTGGAGAGTTCTGGAGTGAGTGTAGAGTACTAGAGAGTGCTGGAGAGTTCTGGAGAGAGTGTAGAGTACTAGAGTGTGCTGGAGAGATTACTGGAGAGAGTGTAGAGTACTAGAGAGTGCTGGAGAGTTCTGGAGACAGTGTAGAGTACTAGAGAGTGTTGGAGAGTTCTGGAGAGAGTGTAGCGTACTAGAGAGTGCTGGAGAGTTCTGGAGAGAGTGTAGAGTACTTGAGAGTGTGCTGGAGAGTTCTGGAGAGAGTGTAGAGTACTAGAGAGTGCTGGAGAGTTCTGGAGAGAGTGTAGAGTACTAGAGAGTGCTGGAGAGTTCTGGAGAGAGTGTAGAGTACTAGAGAGTGTTGGAGAGTTCTGGAGAGAGTGTAGAGTACTTGAGTGTGCTGGAGAGTTCTGGAGAGAGTGTAGAGTACTAGAGAGTGCTGGAGAGTTCTGGAGAGAGTGTAGAGTACTAGAGAGTGTTGGAGAGTTCCGGAGAGTGCCTGTGAAAATCTGTGCTGTCCCAGCTCGGCCCGAACTTCCCGGAGCTGCGCTATAACCGCGTGGTTCGCATCTACCGCATGTCCGAGTTCTTCCAACGCACGGAGACACGCACCAACTTCCCCAACCTCTTCCGCATTTCCAACCTCGTGCTCTACATCATCGTGATCATCCACTGGAACGCGTGCATCTACTTCGCCATCTCCAAGGTCTCTCCGCAGTGGCGGTGTAGCTGTCGAGTGATTGGTGTGCAGGCAGTGCAACTGCACTGGGGCCCCACTGGCTGGAGGGGATCAGGTGCTGGGCTATCAAGAGAGTGGGGTGGGAAATTGCTACAGGGGGCCCCATTTCATTCCTTACATCAGGCCACACACCAACCACGCTACTCCGTTGGTCCCTGTAGCCCTGGAACTGGAGAGACAGGGGTTCCGTTTACAGATGAGGGTGCCTGGGAGAGATGACGGAACGTGGGAGATAACGGGATTTCAGAAGAGGGGAACCTGGGAAATACATGGGGATCTGGGGGAGACTTGGGGGTCTGGGTGTCCCTGCAGGATTGAGAGAGAAAGGGACCTGAGATTGAGGGGATGTGGGAAACTAGGGGACAAGAGACTCGAGGACAAGTTGACCTACGAGGTTAGTGAGGGGATTTAGAAAATATAGTGCTCTGAGAGGCAGGGTTACCTGGATATCTGTGCCGCTAGGAGACCTGGCGAGTGAGGCAGCATTTGGAACAAGGGAACTTGAAGCTAAGCCTCTTCTACGTAGACTGTCCACTCCAGGACACTCGTCAATGATGATGATGACCATTATAGCGATGTTATCAATGATAATGATGAATATGATATTATTGACAGCGATGATGAAGTGGATGTTCTTGATGATGTTGTCATCTCTCGTGTGCAGGTTATCGGGTTTGGCTCTGATCAGTGGGTTTATCCAGACGTCAACATTCCTGAGTATTCTCATCTCATGCGCAAGTACGTACACACCACACAAATGCAGATAGTTTACACACGTACATGCAACCTTATACTTACACATCATTCAGTTAATACAGGAATGCAGGTGTAGTGAGTTCAACTGAGTCGCATATGCACTTCTTGGAGGCAACACGTGCTAAACAGTTATTATACCAACACACGGGGTTAATAAGATAACAACCTTTGGTGGTGAACCACCAGGCTAACTGCGCTAATTACTCTGTAACGAGCTACAATGGACCGGACCACAGCATGGGTCCGGGCCCACGTGTTGGTGACTCTTCAGGACGTAGAACGAAGATCGTAGACTTCTTCAGGATAGCAACAGCAACGCCGAACTCCGACCCCTCCGGGGACCCGGCTTATATCCGCTCTGGCCGTGGCTGGCTCCGTCATTGGCCACGACCACCTTCCAGAATCCTCTACCAGGATCTCGCCCCGACACGTGACCAACCCCTAGCCCCCACTTGGGGCCCCTGTGTAGATTTTACCAGTCACGTGTCCTCCGGGGTCAACCAGAGTGCCACGGCCTATAGTAACCCCATTCCGTGGCCGGCACTCTCACACCCGATCCTGTAGGGGTCGGCACTGCACGCCAAGCGTGGTGCCACTCAGCGCTGTCAATACACCGCTCACCGAGCCCCTCTAGGGCCGGTACTACACCCACATCCACGTGGTGTCCACGATGTCAATACACCACACGCCGAGACCCTCTAGGGCCGGCCTTACGCAGTGACATCCACGATGTCACTACACAGGTATTATCAGCGCAGGTTGAATATTTACCTGGGTTATGGCAACTAGAGTCACAACGATGCATCGATTGATATAATTGAACCAAACCATACGTGCATCGATTTGCTGACCAAATAGTTGATTATTTAGCAAGCGTAATTCATGCTAAAGCTAATAATATGGGACTGTCGTGTCATTTCCCGAACTGGTACGGCACAGGGAGGGAAGCAATGAGCTGGAGACGGGACAATGTGGATAAAAAAGTACGTGTTACCCATGGTTACCCCTTCACCAGGAGGGTTACCCCGTTGCCATGGTGCAGGCACGTGTTCAGCCTGTAGCGGTGTTACACATGTTACCCATGGTTACCTTATCACCACGGTTACCCCGTTGCCATGGCGCAGGTACGTGTTCAGCCTGTAGCGGTGTTACACATGTTACCCATGGTTACCTTATCACCACGGTAACCCCGTTGCCATGGCGCAGGCACGTGTTCAGCCTGTAGCGGTGTTACACATGTTACCCATGGTTACCTTATCACCACGGTAACCCCGTTGCCATGGCGCAGGTACGTGTTCAGCCTGTACTGGTCGACGCTGACGCTGACGACGATCGGGGAGACACCGCCGCCGGCGCGCGACGAGGAGTTTGTGTTTGTGGTGTGCGACTTCCTCGTCGGGGTCCTCATCTTCGCCACCATCGTCGGCAACGTGGGCGCCATGATCTCCAACATGAACGCGGCACGCGCAAATTTCCAGGTCAGGGTCTCCACCCCGTGGTTGTTCCTGGCCAAGGGGTCTGACGAGGCTTCGGAAGTCCGCCTCGGAGTGGCAGACGCACGGAGACACTCGCAGAGACGTGGGACACACGCACGGAGACACTCGCAGAGACGTGGGACACAAATAGGGACGCGTGAAGTGACGTCAACATAGGGGGGCACAAAAGACACGCGGTGAAGGACAGACGCGCGCAGATGGGCAGGACACATGGAGGTGCACCTCAGTTAGACCCACGTGGACGTGGAGAAGCGCTGTATCTTCTTCCCACCGGTCTGTTCATCAGACCCACGTGGACGGGGTGAAGCGCTGTGTCTTCCCACCGGTCTGTTAATCAGACCCACGTGGACGGGGTGAAGCGCTGTATCTTCTTCCCACCGGTCTGTTCATCAGACCCACGTGGACGTGCTGAAGCGCTGTATCTTCTTCTCATCGGTCTGTTCATCAGACCCACGTGGACGTGGTGAAGCGCTGTATCTTCTTCCCACCGGTCTGTTCATCAGACCCACATGGACGTGGTGAAGCGCTGTGTCTTCCCACTGGTCTGTTCATCAGACGCGCGTGGACGGGGTGAAGCGCTACATGCGCCTGCGGGGGGTGACGCGGACCCTTCAGGATCGCGTCGTCGCTTACTTCGACCACGTGTGGGCGTACGGCAAGGCGGGCGACGAGGCGGCCGTGCTCGCCTCTCTGCCCATTCGGCTCCGCGCGGAGGTGGCCTCAAACGTGCACATGGAGACCATCAGGAAGGTGGGAGGGGGGCAGAGAAGCTACGTAGCGTTGTTCTTGGATCGTGCAAGTGTCCACCTGAGCATGCCCACACTTTTTTTCCACGTGTGTCTCTGTCAACACGCCCCATGTGGTGCATCTTCGCATGTCCCCATGGGTGTGTAAACACGCTTGTTCCCCCGTCTCTCCGCCGCTGTTGCCTCCGCGTGTCCGTAGGTGCGAATCTTCGCGGACTGCGAGGCAGGGCTGCTCATTGAACTCGTCCTAAAGCTGAAGCCGCAGGTGTTTGGCCCCGGGGAGTACATCTGTCGCAAGGGAGACGTGGGGCGAGAGATGTACATCGTCAAAGGTGGGGGCTGGGTGACGGGGGTGGTCCATTATCACAGAAAGGAGTGCCCATCATCGCGTGTGTGTTCACACGTGCGTCTTGTGTGTATACACGTCTGTGGCGGTGGGGAAGTGGTTGGCGCACTGCGCTACGGGCCAGAATTCGATTCCTGGCCATGGCTCACAATTCCTGGCCATGGCTCACGTCAATGGTGAAATCTGAACTGGTCGTCCCCTGGGTCGACTCAGTCTTGAATGAGTACCTGGCGGCCAGGTGTGGAGCTGACCGCACTGGCACCGCATGCCCCATGCCGGCCTGAGTGGGGGGCACATGAACAGTGTTTGCCCCAACAGTCAGCTATGCAGGCTACAAGGGGACTTTCATCTTTGTAGGCGTGTTTGTTTAAATTTTGTTTGTTTAACCAGGTGGGTACTCGAGAGACCAGGACAGTCTAATTTGCAAGGGTTACCTGCTATGTATGTGCTTATGTACATGTGCATGAGTGTGCGTTTAGTATGTGTACGCATTTGTGTGTGCGTGCACATCAGTACACAAGTGTTGTGACATCGCAGGATGTCACTACAGTGCCGGCCCTAGAGGGGCTCGGTGAGCACTGAGTGGCACCACGCTTGGCGTGCAGTGCCGACCCCTACAGGATAGGGTGTGAGAGTGCCCGCCGTAGGGAAGGGGTTACTAAAGGCTATGGCACTCTGGTTGACCCGAGAAGACACGTGACCGGTTAGGTCTACAAAGGGGCCCCAAGTGGGGGCTAGGGGTGGTCACGTGGTCGGGGTCGAGATCCTGCTCGAGGATTCTAGAAGGTGGTCGTGGCCAAGGGCGGAGCCAGCAACGCCGCAGAGAATATCAGCCGGGTCCCGAGAGGCACCGGGGTTGTTGTTCATCCTGAATAAACCTTCGTCTACGTTCTAGCGGGTCTCCAACACGTGGACCTGGACCCGAGCTGTGTCTGTAGTAGCTCGTTACGTGGTAATTAGTGTAGTTAGCCTGGTGGTCACCACCTGGTTAACTACACCAGTCACGTGGTAACTAGTGTAGTTAGCCTGGTGGTCACCACCTGGTTAACTACACCAGTCACGTGGTAACTACTGTAGTTAGCCTGGTGGTCACCACCTAGCTAACTACACCAGTCACGTGGTAACTAGTGTAGTTAGCCTGGTGGTCACCACCTGGTTAACTACACCAGTCACGTGGTAACTATTGTAGTTAGCCTGGTGGTCACCACCTAACTAACTACACCAGTCACGTGGTAACTAATGTAATTAGCCTGGTGTTCACCACCTGGCTAACTACACCAGTCACGTGGTAACTAGCGTAGTTAGCCTCGTGGTCACCACCATAGGGTGTTAATCTGTTAAGGGACAGTTACCCCGTGTGTTGGTGTTAATTAAATGTGTTGCCTCCAAGAGTACGTCTGCGACTCAGTTGAACCTACTACACAAGTATAATGCACAGACACACGATGTACACGTTTGTGTGTGTGTGTACAGACGGCCGTCTGGCTGTGGTATCAGATGATGGACTCAAGCAGTTCGTGGTTCTGTCTTCAGGAAGCTACTTTGGAGAAATCAGCATCCTCAACATCAAGGGTGGATCTATCACTGCCATCATAGCATCAAAACCATCATCGCCAACACCATCACTACTGTCACACCGCTACCATCACTTCCAACAATCACTAACATCACCACGAGCAGCGCCAGCATCACATCGCTACCATCACCACCAACAGGTAACTACCACTGTTATCGCCCCCAGGACCATCGCTACCACCATCACCATCAGCAATGGGGACGCAAATGCAACTCGTGTGTGGTGCTGGCTAAGCCATCCCCCTTCAATTGTCGTGTCAGCCTTAATATGTGCTCGCGAACAGAACTTGCCCAATGGCCTATACTGGCTATGCGGGTACTTTTGTCTGTTTTGTTTATACGTATCAATGTATCCTCCTATGTCTAACAACATGTCAGGCAAAACATTTGCATATATTTCATCCTACAGGGTCAAATTAGGGCTCATTCTTGCCGGAGGGAACCAGGGAACTGTAGTGATGATGATGATGAACTATGCATGACCTGTGAGATCTGGGCTCAATGCCATCGTACCAACTCTGGGTGGGGGGGGGGGAGAGTGGTGGCACAGTGGTTAGCACACTACGCTAAGAACACGATTACCCGAGTCTTGCCACAGCTAACATCGGTGGCGACTGATATCTGAATCGGTTCTTTGTCTATCCACCCCATTCACCAACGCACATGGACAAGCATGTTGAAGTATGGTCAAACAACCCCCATGAGCGACATGGCACGGAGATGCCTTGACATCCAGCAGTGGATTTACGAAGGGCAACAAATCATTGTTTTAATTAATCATACCGCCACTAGAGAGCAGCAGTGACCAGGCATTAGTGGGTAAAGCCGACACGAACAGACTCAGCTGGTGAGCGCACTGAGCTAAAACTGCCCTTTTGCCAGGACGACCACAGCCCAAGACCGTCAGCAGTGACAGCAGTTACAGGACAACTTTGCAGGGTGGGAGTGTGCAAGCTAAGGTCACCCACGTGCATTTGCAATGCAGTCTTCATTTATTGGGAACTCCTGATAAGGTGAACAGTGGCAGGGTGGTGGAGGGCAACGTCTATAAAGGCTTCACATCACTCAAACAATGCGGTTTATTTTGTGATTGCAGACTATAAAACAAACCATTCTCACCGGGTATGTCTGCCACCAACTTGTGTATGTTTGTGTAAGTACGAGTGGTGGAGCAGCGATTAGTGCACTTCGCTACGAACACCCCGTCACCAGAGTTCGATTCCCAACGATGGCTAATATCAGCGGTGAGTTATATCTAACCGGCCCTGGGCCTCCTCTTGGTCAACTCAGCCTTAAATGATTACTTTGTGCAGTGCGTACACAACAGGAAGATACAAGGTGTGGGGCTGACCACACAGCCGTTCCGACCTTCATAGGTGCTCACAAACAGCACTTGTCCCAATATTATATTAAAGCTGTACGGGTGGTCTTTGTCTTTTGTATGTATGCGTATATTGAGACTGAGGCTTTTAGGGAGATCTTTGTCTCTGTAGATGTACGAATGTTATGTTGTTGTTATTATTATGCCTGTTTACCCGGGAATGCCTCGCTGAGTCTCGCAACTCTTTCTCAGGAGGGCCCTGTCACGTGTTCGCGGTTGGGGAAGAGCGGGGTGGGGGGGTCGATGATTGCTGCTGCGTGTTGCAATTGAGTCAGTGGATGCGTGTGTGTGTGCGTGTGTGTGTGCATGTGTGTGTGCGTGTGTGTGCATGCGTGTGTGTGTGTGTGCGTGTGTGTGTGTTTCTGGGGAGCGGGAGTGCAATGGTTAGCGCTACGCTGCGCTACGGAACCGGCGACCCGAGTTTGATTCCTGCTCACGGCCAACAACACTGGTGACGATTATCTGAACCGGTCCTGGGCCTCCCCTAGGTCGACTCAGCCTCAAATGAGTACCTGGTGTGGTGTGTAAAATAATCACCACTGGGGAGACAAAGGCGGCCCGGGGGTGGTGCTGGCCACCCACCCCCTCTTGTGCCGTGCCGGCCTTCATAGGTGCTCGCTAACAGCACTTGCCCCCCACAGTCTGTTCAGTCTCTCTGGGGGATCTTTGTCTTTGTAGGGAGTAAGTCTGGAAACCGGCGCACAGCAAACATCATGAGCATTGGGTACTCGGACCTTTACTGCCTGTCCAAGGACGACCTCATGGAGGTACTCACAGAGTACCCAGACGCCAAGCAGGTACTCACGCACTCGCACTAAGGGGCCATCCATAAATGACGTCACGCACCTGGGGGGGGGGGGGGTCAGACATTTGTGACGATGTGTGACGAGGGGGGGGGGTGAGAAATGTGACGTCACATCAAAATGCGCAACTTTATAAATAAATATAGACAACACGTTCTAGTTAATTAAATAGACTTTTTAATAAATGTCTTTTCCTACAACGTCAGAGTGCAGCGCCACATTAAATACCCAACTATAATGACAATAGTTTAAAGCGATTTGAAGCATGTTTATTTTTTGGGGGGGGGGCAGAGCTTTATGACGTCATATTTGAGGGGGGGTCTGACTGTGACGCCGTGTGACTAGGGGGGGGGGGGGGGTCAAAAATCGTCCGAAATCGCGTGACGTCATTTATGGACGGCCCCTTACAGGTATTTACACAGCTACTCTCACAGTAATGCTACCAGGTACCCTGTGCCGTGTGTGTGTGTGTACTGTGTCAGTGTGTACTTTGTGCAAGTACCGTGCGTTCCGTGTGCGTCTATTGCATGCGAGTGTGTGAGTACTTTCTTGTCGACTCAGCCTCAAACAAGTACCTGGTTCGGTGTGTAAATATCGCCACTAGGGAGATAAAGGCGGCTGGGGGCGTGACGCTGGCGACCCATCCTCCCGTGTGCCGTGTTGGCATTCAAAAATGCTCGCTTACAGCACTTGCCCAAACAATCTGTTTAGGCTATACGGGGGATCTTTGTCTTTGTGCTCGCATGCACGTTCTGTGCATGTCATGATTGCACTGCGTGTGTGTATGTGTGTCCGGTGGTGTGTATGTACACCTCCGATTCGCACGGTTGGCTACATGCGGTGCGAAAAAAGTTAAACATTCATATATGTGGAGTGACTGTGATTGTCACTGTGTGGTGCCGGGCTTACAAAGCCACGGCGGATGTTGTGTTGGCATTATGTGTAGCCTGCTTGCTGGGCGTAGTAACAGCCCTAGTGGGGTTTGGGTGAGCGCTGGTCAGCGCAGAGGCACCACGTGCAGTGTGCGGTGCGGGCCCAAGGTGAGGGAGCGAGAGGGAGTGTCAGCCAGCCAGAGTTACGTTGGGGCATGATACGCTGGTTGACCTGCCGACACGTGACCTGATGATATTGGAGGGGGGTCACCGGTTGACGGGGGGCGCTAGGCGGTCACGTGGTATAGAGGAGCTCTCGGGAGCCTTCGGGAAAGAGCTCGAGAGATCGAGAAGGTGGGCGGGGCGAGGGGCGGAGCCAGCCCCAGCCCAGGCTGATGTAACGGGGGCCCCGTGAGGGGCTCGGGGTTCTTCGGGTTGCTGGTGAAGAAGATCCACGTCGGGTAAAAGAAGCCTCTAGCCACGCGGTCCGGGACCCAGCTTGTGGTCTGGGCCGGGATAGCGAACCGTGTCTAGTTCTGCCGTAGCGTTGCTAGATGGGCATTTAACACCCAAGTGTAGATTGTGTTATGTTATGTTGAGTTGGTGAAATAGTGTTGCTCCCAAGACAACGTCTGCGACTCAGTTGGACTCACTACATATGTACTGTGTGTGTACTTCGTATATCGATTGTGTAATTAGTGTACCGCAGAATGAACCGTGTCCTGTCTGTGTGTCCCGTGCAGGCCCTGGAGGATAAGGGCAAAGCCATCCTCATGAAGGACGGCCTAATCGACGAGGAGTGCACCAATGTGGGGCCCGACCCCAAGACACTCGACCAGAAGGTACAGGATCGGGGGCGTTTGGGGGACGTGGAACACGGGGAGTACACGGTGGGCTATGGTAGGGTGGAGAGGGACACAATGACATCATGATGAAAGGAGAAACGGGAAAAGCAAACCGAGGTACCACAGAGAGGAAATGGAGAACATAGGATGGGGACACCGTGCAGCCAGTCCTGGACAGTGCGTCTCTGTGTGTCTTCGCGTGTCTCCCACTCGTCCCTCCCTCGCATGTGTGTCCCCCGTCCTGTCTGCCCCCCCCCCCATCGCATGTCTCGTGACAGGTGTCCCACCTGGAGACGCTGCTGGACGGGGTGCACACGCGCCTGGCACGCCTCCTGGCGCAGCAGGGCTCAAGCGTGGCGTCGACACGCGCCCGCCTCACCTCGCTGGAGACGGCCGTGTGCGGGATCGTCTCCTCCCTGGGCAGCGCGACTCCCACGCTCCTCACCATCACCACACCGCCCGAGGAGTGACGGACCTCGCCATCGGAGCCGCCGACCTTATCCCGGGCGGCGATGTCGACGAATTACTCGCGGCGGTGGCAGGGACCGTGGCGACGGCGGCAGCGGCGGCGGGAGCGGCAGTAACGGCAACATCAGCAGCGCGTGCAACATCACGGACGGCAGCATGACCAGCTGAAGCGTTGCTAGCAACATCACAGGCAACGGCATCAGCAAGCGGCATAACCGGCAGAATGGCCGGCAACATCTGACATCACCAGCATCACCAGCAAGCATCGGCAGCAGCATCAGCAAATTAAATTGCGACATCACAAACATCACCAAAAATGCCGGCAACTTCACCTATACCATTGTCAATATCACTAACATCACAATTAGCATCGTCGCTCATGATATTGTAATATGCTATCATCGGCAACATCTCTAGGAGCATCGCCGTTAGCATTGAATGAGGAACGTGACAAATAAAACCGGCAACATCATTGGCATCAATGATATCACCAACAACATCACAAACATAATTGGTGGCATAATCATCATCGTCATAATCATCTCCTACAAATTCAACTGCATAAGCATCAGCATCCAGGGCTGGATTCAGGGATGGGGGTGAATTTGGGACATTTGCCCAGGGCCCAAAACTTAAGAGTGGTCCACACGCAAAAAAAGCCCCATTAATGTTATAATTAAGAAAGTAGGACAGCTTACTCACATTATCATGTTATTTGAATTAAAATGAACAATTTGAAATTAATTAATTGCCGTGCTTAATATTTATTTCTACCTTCAGTATTCTCCATCTGACCTAGATTCACTCCATCTGACCTAGATTCACCCTTGTAAGGGTAGGGTGCGAGGGGGTAGGCGGTAGCTTTTTTTACTCTGGTGTCCCAAGAGCAAAGATACCTCGATATAGCTCTGTCAGCACTAATATCACCTTAGCCACCAGTATCCACATCATCATCATTGACATTACAAACATCACCAGCGTCATCACCGGCAAAACCACCAAAATGTCTGAAAAATCACATTAAATAATTCGCCACCACCTCCACTATCATCACCATCCTCGGCATCCTCCCCATGTGTCCGTGGTGTCGCGAAGTGTGTGTAACGGATGACGTTAACTCCGCACCTTCCTCCCTGCGCCTCTTCACTCCCCAGATCCTCCACGCTCCTCCTTAGAGCCCAAGCCTATAAACGTACGTGGATAATTATGGGTATTATAAAATACATTGAGCTTTCTTTTGTATCTCCGGGGTGGAGCGGTGACACAGTGATTGACGAGCTACTGCTATGACCCCGGCGGCAACCTGGGTTCAATTCCCAGCCATGCTTAAGCATCGGTGGGGGGTAATATCTGAACCGCTCCTGGTCTCCCCCTCCCTTCATCAGCCCGCACTGACCAATGTGGTGAAATATGATGAAACAATCTGGATGATGAACACGGCGTGGGGAGGGAGACGTGTCGAGTTCAGCAAAGAGATCGTAGTCACCATCAGTCTGATATTTCCCCATCATAGCTATGGGGTTGAGTTTGCAGAGAGCACATTGAGACGAGATGGTGGTGAGACTGGCACGGAGTGGATAGTGTATACGGCTCAATGGGTCACATTATACATTGTTCTATATGTAGTACTGTACATAACTGTGCAGTGCGCTAACCACTACGCCACCGCTCCATGCCCTCGGTGCGGGCCAAACATGGCGAGTGATATCCGAACCAGTCCTGGGCATCTCCTTCACCGACCCGCACGAACCAGTGCTGTTAAGTAGAATCTAACAACCCCAATGAACAACAATGTGAGGAGGCCTTCATCCAGCAGTGGATTAACAAAGGACCCTGAATGAACACAATTCTCTATCCACGTAAAACATTGTGTTTTCATCCAGAAGGATTTGTTTCAGCAAGCTGGACCGATTTCGTGCTTCTGGCTCTCAACGAGCAGCAGTCAGGCTTGCAAAACAAACACTCATCGTTTAAACAATCCTGTACTGCGTCAATAAAATACCATTTACGTGCTGTGAAGGAAGGCCCTCGACACACTGCTGGCCGTGGGGGTTACTTCACCACCTTTTATCGCACTTTGTTCAGTGCATGTCGTGAAGACAGGGATCACATATGTGGCACCATAAAAGTAAAGTACAACAATTTATTTTTCGACGCCGCACTCTGCTGCCCACTTCATAACTCTGCAGCCTATTGCACCTGCTATGCATGGCAATTGCCCATCGAGGCACTATCCAGGATTAACAATCATGCTCACCTTCTGAGACCTGGTGAGGTTGTGCACACTAAGGGAGGCTGGTCGTCGATAGTGGAGCATGATGTGTAATAAATAACGAAACAACTCCCAAGTCCTCATTGTCAGATGAACAGAAATGGTCCATGAGCCCAGCGGCCTTGCGCGCTAACACTATCCAGCAGCGTCTATCGAAGCATGCAAACTCATTTTTCATTGAGCTGTGCATGCGGGTGGAGCTGGAGTACCCAGAGGAAACCCACAGATTCATTGCAACAGGCTTCCATCGATTAGATGCCCCTGTAGTATAGATGCGTCTATACATAGAACACTGTGTACTTTAAATAACCTTAATGCTGCTTCGGTAAGGCATTACGGTGCCTTATTACTACCCGAGCTGAAGGAACATTGACAATTTATGACCGTTCTCTATGTCGGTGTGGCTGGGGCACAGTTCCCTGATGAGCCCATTAGAGCAACGATATCCAGAAGGGGGGGGAAGGTGGGCGGCAGACCCGGCGTCGTGGTCACGGCTAACATCAGTGGCAAGTGATATCCGAACCGCTCCTAGACACGTCCCTTCATCAACCCGGACTGACCAGCTTGGTGAAGTATATTTAAACAACCCCCATCACTGGGGGAGGCTTTTTTTGCCCAGCTTATTTGATTAATGACTAAGGGCTACACGCGTGCAGCAATACTCTGGATTTTAATTGACGGTCTGTCGCCAGGCATGGTTCACTAATGAGCTCCTGCGAGAGCTAAATGTATCCGTTTCTCCCAACGCTGTTGCTCATTGTCTTCTGAAAATCTGATTGCCTAAAAGTTTTACTGATATTTGCCATCGCTCCGTGTACACGGCACAACGGACTTCTCAGAGGACCGACGTTGTGCCTGTTCATATTCACGTGAGGCAGTGCTCAATTCCGGGGCCATTGGGAGCAAATGTCACATTCCCGTGGCATCTGCCAGTATAACCGTAGGAAAACAATCACTGTCGGTATCCCAAAAAAGTGGCGCTCATATTATCGACCCTAACGGGCTGATAGGGTGCGGTGACCCACGACTGGCATTTGAGTTTGCGATATTCTGGTTGAGAGCCGAGTGCTCTATGGTTGCCAGCAATCAGTAAATTGAGTCTTGGACAGCTGGGTTTGTTGTATTGATCCGCGATGACCTCTGCCTATGACCACATTCCAAGCCTCTTACAGCAGCAGCAGCAGGCTCCGGAGTAATTGGTGATTTGATGGATCGCAGGGTATGCAAGGGCAACCACGAGTCCCTCCATCAGGTCGGTGAGGACAATCTGCCCGATCTGACCTCAGTGGTGAGCCTTAAGTTTTTATGTCAATGGTGAGCATTTTGGCTTTATGTGCAAAACGTTGTGACGCGTATGATGAACGCGAGTTGATGATGTCCAATCGCGTCGTGAATGACTTTCCATGTTGCTTAAAAAGTTGATCCACTTTCTACCAAGCGAAAGTGTACGTTGCACTTCGTACATAGCCAACCGTGCTAATCGGAGGTCATTGACAACCCGTGTAGAATTATTCCAGTCTCCTCAGTATCGCCAGTGACTCAGATCAAGCACAATAGCATCGGTAGGACACAGGTCTTATTGTTCCTGATTTTCATGCCAGGTCACCGCTTTCCTGGTCACCATGGATGAAGGCCTCCCCATGCCATGTTGGTCATGGGGGGGGTTATTTGATCCTACTTCACCACGCTGGTCCAGCTGTGCAGGTTGGTGAGATGAAGGGCTCAGGAGCGGTGAGATATATCGTCACTGACCTGAGAATGGGTGCCAATTGAGCTCGGGTAATTGGGTTCAAAATCACTACGGTCCCAAGTCCTTTGTGTAAATGCGCAAAAAAACAAGTAAACGCGACACGTACTTTAAGAAAGCAATACTTTATTCCAGTTAGTAATTCATGTTAACGTCATTGTTAATAATAATAACGATGATCAATGGTGATGATGATGTCAGTGATGGTGGCGATGTCAGCGTGAGGCAGACTATTTACAGCAAGGACTAGGACTGCAACACCCTTCACGTGTCCCGGCCTCCCGTACTCCCGTACTCATGACTAGCGCTACAACCTCGGGTTCCAAAATGTTAAATACAATTGAGCTCCATTAGTATTATTAGCTTTAGTTAATTTAATTGAAAAAAATATATCAAGTTAAAATTCTACATTTTGAATTTAATTATCCAAGTAGGTTTTTTATTGTCGTTATTTAATAAAACCGAGAGTTTAAATGGATATGAATTGTGGATTATACAGTGTATTGATTAATTTAGTCAGCTATTTGCCCTCCTGTGTGAGGGGTGGGGAATCTGTGCCCCATCCCCTGAACCTTGACCCCCACCCCTCCCCCATCAATGGGAAGTGCTGTAATACCACCAAATAACTCGCTTTCCCATAACCCTGAAAATAATATTCAGAGTGGTACGGGATTCAAACTTAGACTCGTATTGTACTGAAACCTTATCTTGCATAGGATGGATGCAGAGTCGTATGGAATTACCTGGTGTCGGCTTTGAAATGTGTCATAAAAGTAATACTCTGCAAGGGGATTCATACTGCAACAGTATTTTCACTTCAGTTAGGATCAGGATTAGGGGTTAGAATCCGGGTTAAACCACTACACTCCAAATGAAACCGTACTAAACCCAAATGCCAGATAACTTTTGCTCTGGATCTCAATCCACCAATGGTCGGTTTGTTTGATTCACTCGGTTTGTTGATATGTAAACTCCTTTGTCAAGGCGCTCTCCTCCTCCCACCCAGCTTAAAATACGCTGCCAAGCTTAGCAGTGTTCATTGGGACGCTGTCTTTCCGCCAGCTCTCTTCTTCATCTGAGGACGGCTGCTTGCGTTGTTGCCGAAACGTCTTGAGAATTTTGTTTTATTTTTATTATTTTGTTATTTCCCTTCTACGCGACTTTACCGAAAGAACCAAGAATATGATTCACTCGGGTTAATTTTCTCAGAGGAAATCGTGACAGCACCCAAAAGGCGCTTTGTCCTCACGCGTCAGCACTTGGAGATTCCACGGAACCTGGGGGAAGAGTTTGCATGGCAGGAGCAGCACCACCACGAGTGGCAGAAGGCACGAGGGCCATACTCGATTTGTAAGTACAGTATGAATACCCATGCAGAGTATGAATTTACAAATAAAGTATACGTTTTTAGTTACTTTCATAAAATATATTTTTAATCGTAAGGGGGTGTCTGCAAACCTGGATGGTGATGGCAGCAAAATCTAAAAGACTTGAGCATACGGACACCTGCTGGTGCAGAAGCCAAGCTCTGGGGCCTTCGGCAAATGTGGAGCTCTTTAATTGTGGAAATCTAGAGGCTAATTGTGAGGCCTGAAACTATAGATGCCTGGGGAGACAAGATCTAGATTCCAGGAGCTTTAGATGTAGTGGAGCCTGTAGGTCTGGAGGGCTGAATATCGAGATATTTGGTGAAGGGTCTGGATGTCTTGATCTCGTTGGATCCTAGAGGTTTGGAAGTGAGGCCTGGAGGACTCGGTTTGGTGGAGGACTAGACTCAGGGGGGCAAGAGACCTGGAAGTCTAGGTGTGTATTAACCTAGAGAACTGGAGGTCTTGATTTAAAGGAAGGTGGGGGCATAGAAATCTAGATGTGGAAGGACCAAGAAGCCTTAAGGCCTCTGGTGGGGTCTAGAGGCTTGGAGATCTAAATATTTAGGAACATAGATGCCTGGAGGTCAAGACATGGAAGAGCCAAGAGGCCCTAGACATATATATAGACGTGGTCATAAATACAAATACCAAGGTCCGTGCAGATCTAAATGCAGAGAGTCCTGTGGTTTTAGATGCGTAGGAACCTAGATGCCTGGAGATCTTTACATAGGGACTTCTAGACACCTAGAGATATAATTACCAAGGGCAATATAAGTCTGCAGTCACCCGCTTGAGTCAGTTCAGTCACCACCCCCAAGGCTGTGGTCACACGAGACTCGGCAGCGCAGGTATCCGACCCCTCGCGTCACCCGAGAGACGAAAAATAAAGTCATAACGTGAGTTGTAAAACCTTCAAACGCATGGCAGCTGAAGGGGAGGGGGGGGGTTGAGCCCAGCCAGAGTGAGGGTGCCAGTGTCCGATCAGCATTACGAAATCCAAGCACCACTTACAAGCACTGTGAGATCTGAAGAGTGGAGTCATCTCATTACGGAATCGCAGCAATAATCATAACAATACTGTTATTGATAACACCGTTATAATGCTTGTTAAACATTTCTCTCTCAAATAATACACATCTTGGGGTGTGAGATGGATGCTTCAACTTAACACTTAAGTTTTCTTCACAGTAATAGCTATCAGTAGTATAATTTTTTTTAAAGAAAATTAGTCTCAAATGATACCTTTTACCTCCAATAACTCAACAAAAGAATCACCCGCAACGAATCCTAAGAAGCCTTTTTCACCATTGTTATTAATTTTACAAGTCACAAAAGCACCAATAAAGCAGATAAAAGAGCAAAGAAGACTGACTGCACCACAATTCTCACCCCTATGATTACCCCCACCTCATCACTGGCCATTATGAACGTAGCTCCTAGTCTGTAACGTCTGTAAAGCGAGCCCTGTTTGTCAGGGACCAGTTGGCCAGACTAGACTGGATACGCAGGCCATGGAGCCAAGGGGATCGGGAATGAGGCGAGCCCAGGGATTCAGGATCCACACAACATGGGTTTGGGGACCCACAAATATCGTTCTGGCTTTTTCTCAGGCCTTCAAGGCCAGTCTTATCATGGTCACCCCCTCCCGTTCGTCCTAAGGTGACTCTGAAAAAAGAGTGCCAAATCTACAACACCCTGTAGGATATTAAGCAACATCCTGTAAGATATTAATATTGTTTTAGTTACCCAGAAAGCCTCACAAATATCCATTTCATGAAATTCCTTTTTTTACTTATGGGAGGACACCAGACAGCTCAGAACATACCCATGCACAGCTCCCAATGCATGTGCAGGAGCAGCCACACACAATGCGGGGCCCAGAAGCTACAGCATCGCAGTGGCAAACAGCAAATGCAGCCACACACGAGCAATGTGGGGCCCAGAAACTCCAGAATTTCAATGGTAAACGGCAAATGCTAAATATTCTTTGTTGTTAGATCACTGGACAGCAGTCACCTTCGTGAAGTTACAAACTTTAGCAGGTGACCCGTTAAATAATCCCATGGGCTATTTTTGCTGTGCAGTCGACAAAATTCAAACAACGAAAATAGAACAAATATCCATTTCATAGTTATAATTTTGTTCCAAAGTAATGAAAGCTACGAGTGCTTTAACGTGGTAAACGTTTGCCCATTTAAAACTTCCAAGTAAAAGTTCATGCAAGCATCGTAAATGGGAGTGTGAGATGGGTGTGAGAGTGCGTTCGTGTCGGTACCTTTATATAATTATTCCAAAAACTAAACACTTTTAACTAGTATTTTTGGAAATAATGTTCTATATTTTTTTGTTAGTTTTCATTTTTTTTAAAGTTTTAAAAAAATGTACAGTATATTGTTATTACTCCTGCCCCAGAAAGGCATCCCTTAGCAGTGGGTCCCATGTCCACCTTTTTTAAAGGTACCCTCTCAATATCACCAAGACCTGTCGCAGGCTTTGCCCAGGTGTTTGTTAGCTTTGACGGTGCAACCTTGCTCTTTGACTGGCCTACAAAAGCGTTTTTTTTTTAAATTAGCAGATGTTCAGGCCCGTTTAAAAAACGCTGGACCAGTTACTGTTTTGTACTTTAGTGACACACACACATTTCACTAGGCTTATCTATCACGAGTGTGATATTTGCCATTTTCAAAATGTTAATGGTACAGAGGCACAATTCCTGTACCTGTGTGTTGAGGCCAGTGTGGTGCAACCGCGAGGGTGAATATGAACATCCCACAGTGGATTAATGTGATTGTTCACTATTCTCGTACAATAGATATCAACGTTTGGGCTGTTCAACACCCCCTAAAGTAACTTGCGGTGCCATAACCATGAGGTCCCATGAATGAACCGATGTTACTGGAAGGGCCTCTTGAGACGATGATGCTAGGTAAACTTTTGATAGATTTTTTGTCCATGCTAAAGGGGACATTCCCCGGATCTCCTGACCTTCGCCTCAAAGACCCAACCTAAATAAGATAACCATCCCACGGCCGCTAACCGCACCACTCGCCCATCCAAACAAATTCACGAATCTGCCACACTTTTGTCTCTCAAGGCGAGCACATTTTTGTACAATCGTGTTTTGTTTTCTCGATGCACTTTTGTTTCAAAGGCGGACGCTTTCGTGGGGACTATCGAAGGCATGAAAAAAGGTGTTTGTTTTTAGTTGTAGTGTTTGGCTTTGAAGCCTTTCCCCGGGTTGGTCTTTTAACGGTGGTGCAGGCTGCGGGCTCGCGATCCTTTCAAGCGGCCAGGCAGCGTCGAAACCTGCGAAGATGCACACCGAGCAATCGGCATTAACAAATTATAATAATTTACCATCGTTTATCAATCCGTTACTAGTGGAGGCCTCCCCATGCCATGTCAGTCGTGGGGGTGGTTCGGCCATACTTTACCACGCTAGTTTGTACGGGTTGATGAAGGGAGTGTGGAAAACCAGTGTTACCCACCACTAATGTTAGCCATGGCCGGCAATGAGTCAGATCGCTGGGTTCATTATGCACAAATGTATCCATTTGCTCAGGTCGTGTTTTGTCCATTTCGTTAAGATTTGAGTTTGACCCAAAAGGTCTCCACACACTCAAATGGTGTGAGTATTGGGTGGCAATGCAGTGAGGGCCCAATGGGGGAATTCCACATGCCTATGTCTATAGGACAGCCACTGTTATTCTCCAGGGTGATCCAGATATCTTGTGACCCACCAATTAATCGACCCCGAACATTTTTTTTGCATATTCATGTTTGTTTGAAATAGACCATGCTTTAAAAAGATTATGGTTTAGATAATTAAATGGGGGTCGTAAGACATCTGGACCACCCTTTAGACAGTGGAGAGGGATAAAGTCAATGTCGAAAGAATCCAGACTACCAATAGAAAACCCACACATACATGGGGATAACATTGAAACATTTCACACACAACATTTAAGGAACCCACTTGCTTTACTGCCATATCCTGTCAAGGTGTGAGTTCTCATCAACTATGAAGCATGGTTGTCATTTGGCCCTGTTGCAAATATTAAAATGGGTCCCCACATGTCCATTTTCCACCCTATCCATAGCCCGGCGGCTGGGACTCTTCAGCCTGTGGGCCTTGGTACAGTTTCACCGCCTGCAAATTCAATAGCTAAACCACTGGCTCTCAGACACACGATAAAACCTGCGCAATCCATAAATATACGGCTCCACGGTGCTAGGTTAAAGGTGTGCGCCACTGTGGCTATTCAACAAGGCCCTGCATAGTGGGACATTATGACTGTGTACGTTAGGGTTACGACCTGTTTTGGTTTCCCAGGACCCGTTCTCTTTTTTGAGATAACCATCCTGTGAAATCGAAGTCTTTCCGCAAGACTAAACATGAAAAGTTAATTTGTCGTTTACATGCAGTTGTGCCCTTCTTCCCAAGATACGTTTTTTTGTTCATACTTCAGCGGCGGCGACCATCGTGTTGCGCGTGTGCCCATCGCCTTTCACAGTGGTCTGTGGCAGTACCGGCGGCGGGGGCCTAGGAGAGGTCGGTGACGCTGTGCCCATGCCGCATGACGGGCAGCGCGTGAAGCGCGCGGGGGAAGTCGGCGCCCAACATCCGCCCGTTCTCGCCCAGGCTGCCCGTCAGAGACAGCCGCCCCTCACTACGCAGCGCCTCGCCAAACGCCAGCTGCACGCGCGCACACACGCGGGCACAGCACCAGCGATGAACTCAACTTAGCCTTTTACTGTAGAAGTGTGGTTCCCACGCTTGAACTTCTTTGGCACCGTACGTAGCCAACCATGATAATTGGAGGTGCGGGGGGAGGGTCTCCTAGACGTCCGCAGACCACTGGTGGTCTGCGAGGTTGTGGGAAATGCTCCGTGGAAATGTTCCAGACATGACGATTTTGAGTAGTTTTTTGCTCTCGTTTATCTCGCTTTCATTTCACTAATCTGTATCGATGTCCCCGCGGGCAATAGCTCAATGGACCACTCTAAGAGCCTGCCACAGTCAGATGTTGCCTGCAGGCCACGCTTGCCGTAGGCCATAGTGAGCAAGTGTTGCTGACAGGAGCCTGTTAAAGGTGTAAACAATATATCTCATCCTCAGTTTAACACGTAGGCTTTCGAGACCAATATCCATAATAGGAATTGGTACGTTCTGGTTACGTGACAAACCTTTCTAATTGGCTGTCGGGTGGTGGCGGGTTTAACGACAAATGTATAAAAATTTTGATTTAAAGCTTTCGTGACTGCAGTAATTCATATTCTTAGTTTTTTCGGTAAAGTCACGTTGAAGAGAAACAACAAAATAACAAAATATATATAAAACAATAAAAATTCTCACGACGTTTCGACCATAACTCAAACGGTCATCATCAGGTGTGTCGGTTTGCATAAATTTATTTTGCTATAACTGGAGAAAGGGGGGAGCCCATTGGGGTGCCCTCAGTTTGTTTGTAGAAAGTTCCATTCCAAGTGAAGTATGTATTGGTTAAACAGTGTCTCACCAGGGGGGGTACCTCAGTGTTTAGTCCTTGATGAACCAAGTCTTCAATGATTGCAATGGTGTCAGGTACAGGAACCTTGGTGAATAAGGAAACTACATCAAAACTGACAAGCAGGTCGTCTGGGGACAGGGAAATACCCTTGATTGTTGATACCAGGTGAGTAGAATTTTGTACCGCAGAGGTGGTCTTTCCAGTGAAAGGACGCAGGATTTCAGACAAAAAACGAGCTAGTTTGTAGGTGGGGGAGCTGATAGTAGAGACTATGGGACGAAGAGGTGTATCAACTTTATGTATTTTTGGTAAGCCGTATAATCTTGGTGGCCTGGCAGCAGAAGGTTTCAACGAAAACTGTTTAGATTGATCAATTAATGCGGTTGAATCAGAAATTATTTTGTTGGTTTGTGTGACGAGGCTGTTGGTGGGATCTCTTTTTATTTTTGTATAACTACCATCGTCGAGTAATTCTTTAATTTTGTTGTTGTATTCTATTTTATCCATGATGACAGTAGCATTGCCTTTGTCAGCTGAGAGAACTACAATATCATTCCTCTTTTTTAATTTATATAATTCAAAACGCTCATCTTTGCTGAGGTTGCTAGCTGGCATCTTAGCGTTTTTGAGGGTTGCAGCGATTTCAGATCTTGCTACGTCTGCAGCGATGTGACCCAGGCCCCTGAGAGCAACGTCTACTTGGGCAATTATATCATTAACTGGTATGTGTTTAGGTGTGACTGCAAAGTTTAGACCTTTAGCTAAAACGGATTTCAGACCATCGGAAATAGAACTGTTACTGCGATTAATTACGACTTTATTAACGTCTAACTTTTTGGTGTGTGGGTCCGGTCTTTTGTTAAAGAGGAGGTTAAATTTGGAAATCAGGTTTTCCTTACATTTGGTCGACATAGTAGCAGCTGAAGAGGCAGTCATATTGTCTACATGTTCCCAATCCGATGTGGACATTATTGCCGTCAATGATAAGTGTGATTTGTAGAGTGTCTTGTCTAACTGATCTAGTTCTGTGATTTTTTCTGAGATAAGAGCTAAGCTAGTTTTGGTTCCTGTACCTGACACCACTGCAATCATTGAAGACTTGGTTCATCAAGGACTAAACACTGAGGTACCCCCCCTGGTGAGACACTGTTTAACCAATACATACTTCACTTGGAATGGAACTTTCTACAAACAAACTGAGGGCACCCCAATGGGCTCCCCCCTTTCTCCAGTTATAGCAAAATAAATTTATGCAAACCGACACACCTGATGATGACCGTTTGAGTTATGGTCGAAACGTCGTGAGAATTTTTATTGTTTTATATATATTTTGTTATTTTGTTGTTTCTCTTCAACGTGACTTTACCGAAAAAACTAAGAATATGAAGACAAATGTATATTTACGCGACCTAACCCCCAAAAAACTCCTGTATTATGGATATCTCATCCTGTCAAAACGCACCTAGGTTGTATGTCTGACCCATTCTATACTCGCTTTGTGATTGGGAAAAAAAATCTTAAAATAAAAACTTAATTTACGGACTCGAATTACGTCAGTGTAACATTATACCTAACTGACCAAAATAGTTCTATTTGTGTATATGTATTTTCCAAGTTATGAATACACATGTGCCAATATGCAAACTTGAAGGCAGATTTGGAAGAGATAGATGAACGAGATATAGTAAGGACATGACGATTGTTCAGAGGCTGCCATGTTGAACGAGATTATGGTGCAACAATGTAGGTGTTTGCTCTGTTACAAAGTTGTTGCGCGCACAGCTACAAAGACAAAGATCCCCTGTATAGCTTTTAACAGACCCCTTTGGGGCAAGTGCTGTTAGCGCCTATGATGGGCCAGGATCGCACAAGAAGGGGGTGGGGTGTGCCAGCACCACGCCCGGCCGCCTTTGTCTCCCGAGTAGCAATGTTTACACATGGCACCAGGTGCTAATTTAAGGCTAAGTCGACCTAAGGGAGGCCCAGGACCAGTTCAAACATTCGCCAGTTATTATTTGTGAGCGGGAATTGAACTCGGGTCGCCAGGTTCATAGTGCAGCGCACTAAACACGACACTACCATACCACATAGGTACACAAAATAAATAAAAAATCTCCTGTATAGTCTTCAACAGACTGTTGGGGCAAGTGCTGTTAGCAAGCACCTATGAAGGCCTAAACGATATGCATGGGGTTGGGTGGCCAGCACCGCACTCGACCGCCTTTATATCCCCAATGGCGATGTTTACATACCGCACTAGGCACTCATTTGAGGCCGAGTCGACTGAGGGGAAGCCCAAGATCGGCTCAGATATTCGTCATGATCGGAAATCGAACTCGGGTCGCCGGGGTTCATAGCGCAGCACGCTAGCCGTAACACTACCACTCGCACACAGGTGCGCGTGCACACACGCAGGTGCGCGCGCACACACACAGGCACCCCACCTTAAGGCGCTTGGCTTCGGCGCGGGATTTGCAGCAGAACTCCACGAGCGCCACGAGCATGGCGAGACCGAGTCCACCCACGAGGATGTAGAAAACGCCGGCCACATTACTGAGGCTCAGAGCGCTCGTCTTATCCTGCTCGCACGGGCACGCACGCACGTCACCATCCACCGCGGACCGCTCTACCAGCTGGCGCACCTCCCCGACCCCCCCAAACCAACACGGACGCTCGCATGGGGACACTCTCAGGGATCCAGCAGCACGGTCGTGGGTTTCAGCCTGCTCACATACCCCTGTGCCGCAGCACTAACGGGGCGGGCAGGTGAGCGGACGAGTGGGAGTTCAAACAGTGGCGGCTGGTGGCTCCAGTTTGAGCGAAGTGCCAAATTCCAACTCGGATTTCGCAGCCTCGGTTGCCGCGTGCAGGTTTTTTTGTAGTCGAAAAATCGAAATGCAAAGACTGAAGAATTCGAATGTAAAAATTGGAAATGCGATGAAGATCAGATGAAGTGGCTTCATTAGAGGTTACTCATCGGATGGTTTCCCAAGAGACCTGGTCAGTTTGGGAGATGAATTAAAAAGGTCGGCGTCTTCGTTATCAAATTAGCGATGGGCGGTATGTTGGCGGTCCTGGATCGGTGGCGAAAATTCCAAATTCACTTGGCGTGGGGTCAGTCTCTTCAGAGACAACTGTTGAGATTCCACAAAAAATGGTGTTCTATAATTATCTACAACCACAATGAGTATGATGTTAATGGGTTGAGTCAACCTCAACCAGGATTAGAACTTGCAACCTTCTGGTTTTGAGTCAAGTGCTCAACCTGACCAGGTGAGAGCCCCACAGAGGGCCTTTTCACGTGAGTGGGATTTACGCCGACTTAGTCGTGTCGATACGAGTTAAGTCAATTTAAGCTCCATTTGAAGCAGTACGGCATCAACTAAACTTGCCACCTCCAAGAGGTGGAGATTAATTTACCTGCCGACTTAAACTGCACTGGCACGAGTAAATCCGACACACACAAAAAAAAACCACAAGTGAGAAAATACCCACTGTGACATTATTATTACAACGCGCTGCCTCCGCATTCTAGTTAAGCATTGCCTGCACGCGTCACCTCCGGCTGGGAGAAGCGAGATGGAGGCCGTTACCTCTTCTACTTCAGAGCCGCTGGAGGCAGCAGGGCATTGTTACCATCATCAGAATAAGCGCATGGGCTGTTGCGGAGAGGATGTTAACATCCAAGAGCCTGTGACACCGCTTGCAAAGGGTAAGCCATAGTGTGCCTGAAATCCTGGCCCAAAAAAATAGACCTCTGCACTGGTTTAAGTCCAAGTTACTTGAATTATGGTGCAACTTAAGCAACTGGGATAATTGAGGAGCTATACCAGTAACATCACAATCATGATTATTATCAGCCATGATCTATCCACTGCTGGATAAAAGCCACCTCAAGCCATCGCCATTATGGTCTCGCGATGAAACCAGCTCCATCTAGGTTCTGCACTCGAGATGAATCCATTGCTGCATATCCACGGTGGACGTCCCCTCGGGCACGTTCCCTCTTTTGGCTCCCACTCTGTCATTGTTTCAACCACAGCCATCATCCCGTCACCCCTTCCACAGTCGTCGCCTCCCCACCGCCCCCCCCACATTAAAAAAGAAACAGAGCAGTGGCGTTTGGTGGGGCGGTACTGGAAACTTATTCTCAGGGTCCCAAAATGTCGTCGTGCTCCTGCTGGGAGCATGTCCCCTAAGTTCTCAGTAATTGTGGGCACACCAGCCCTGTCTGACATGCTGTGACTGCAGCAAGGAGATTGTAATCAGTAGTCTTAAATGTCTTCACCAGTGGTCACAGCACCTGGACAGTTACGTACTATTAATACGTGATAATCGACCCTTTGTCAATCCGCTGCTGGATGAAGGCCTCCTCACGTTGTTGTTCATTGGGGTTGTTAGATTCTACTTAACAGCACTGGTTCGATCGGGTCGGTGAAGGAGATGCCCAGGACTGGTTTGGATATCACTCGCCATTTTTGGCCCGCACCGAGGGCATGGAGCGGTGGCGTAGTGGTTAGCGCACTGCACAGTTATGTACAGTACTACATATAGAACAATGTATAATGTGACCCATTGAGCCATATACACTATCCACTCCGTGCCAGTCTCACCACCATCTCATCTCAATGCGCTCTCTGCAAACTCAACCCCATAGCTACGATGGGGAAATATCAGACTAATGGTGACTACAATCTCTTTTCTGAACTCGATACGTCTCCCTCGTTAAACATATATATTTTTAAAAAGGGCTGATTATGGTCCAATTTGTCATGAGGTTTCACATTTTTCATCCGCCCTTCACTGTGTATTAACGTCCCTTGAGATATTCCCAAGCAAGCGTCTCCCAAGGCAGAGAACCACATGCTGAAGCCAATTAAAAACGTCTATACGCGGTGTGCCCCCCAAGCCCTACTAGGCCCGTGAGGGAATCGACGACATTGCAAACTACGATGCCGCTGGAGGTTGCTGATGCTTATTTGAGATTGTAATCTCAGCGAGCTTGGACGTGGGATTGGTGGGTCACGGGAAGAAGGTTTTTTTTTAACGGTGGTCATTACGGAGACGACGAAGTGCTCGAGATGCGCCCCAACCCCCCGGGGTTGTGAGGTGGGCGAGGAACACGGCAGGACGCAGCACGATGAGTGTCGCCCCTTTTCCTCACGCGTGGGGATCCTCCGGGCACTCTGGTTTCATTCCTTCCATGTTTAAACACTCGGCGATTAAAACATTGACCCAGCATCTCAAGTAAGGGCCTCGCTGAACGCTGAAAAAAATATTCTTGCGACTCGGTGAGGCTTTCTTGCATCAACAACACCAGTGTCATATAATCCTGAATCGTCACTTAACCCGTAACTCGCACGGCTTGTGGAGGTCTTCAACAAGCAGTGGATAGATTTGTTTTAAAGGCTGTTTAAACATGAAAATTTGTTGTTGTTGAACCCAGGCCCAAAGCACCAAGCGGCCAGTAACAAGCAGCACTATGTACGGTTCCTTCATAACCCGAGTCGAATTTGGGCACACGACCACTTTTGCGAACGTTGTCACAGGAACCTTTGGCTGTCGCCATCCCCTCAAGAGGCAGCGGCGCTGTTTAAACGATGGATTTCAAACCGCCGAACCATTTATCCTCCAGCGAACCCCATAGCAGGTCTCCCCTCTATAGAGTTATGGGGGGGGGGGGGTGGTCTGGGTCTCCACTTTCCAGACGTGTCCCTGGTCTCCTTTGGCTCAGTCTCAAGGCACCGCGACTCATCCAGGCGTCAATGCCAGTACGTGCTGTATTTGGGATTGTTGCTGTTGTTGTCCTGAGCTGTAGTTTTTTGTTTGTTTTTATTTGCAGGTGATGATGGTGGTGGCGTAATTCACGGCCTGGGATAGCATCGCAGCATTTTTGCCGCCTGCAATGAGGGGTTAAACAGAAGCCACCGGATTACGTCCGATTCGAAGCCATCGCATCTCATCTAGGCCATGTTTTCGTTTCTGATTTCATCCTGAGGCTTTAAAACTTTAAAACGTGCCCTATTTGGTCTTGATGATTGTTACAAATATCCTCTTTGGAGGTTGTGTCTTGTTATGTGAAAAGTACAGCAATTAGTATGTTTTTGTCTCTTCATATTTTCTCTGTGGTGGACAGTACAGAAATAAGATTCCTCACTCAATATATGGATAATTCTGACAGAATGCAGTACAGCAAGAAGGTGGGTAGGAGGTAGTAGAAGATGGTCGGTGTCTGACCCAACCAGAAGTTAACTGTGATAAGAGGATAGTACAGCGAGTGAGCTCCTCACATGCTGTCCGTACAACGGAGTGCCCCCCCTTTCACGTGCGTAGCTTTTCTCTGGGAACTCTGGTTTCCACCGGCAATGCTAAACTACGTTGTAAATGTTGAAGTAGCCGAACGTCCAAAACCCGGTCAATTGTCAAAGTGAGAGGTGGCCTGGTGAAAGCTTGATTCAACTCAGAATCTCAACGGTGATTCTGAGTTGAAACACGATTTCCGCTGCCCGCGATTTAACTGGGTCCCCAAGTATAGCAAGATGGCACTCAGCCCAGTGAACAAAGATTGCATAAAAAATCCTGTAACTATCATTTCCTCATTCTAGCGTTGGTAAGGAGAAACTTCAATTGCATCGATATGCAATTAATCATCTTTGCAGGGCGTATAAAGAGTATGCCCCCCAGTGTGGATAAAATCAATGCAGTGACTTCCGAAGTAGTTCCTGTGACATTATCTTATGGGACAACTTTCTGACGCAGGGTGATCCACTGCTCGCTGAAGAGTTCTGAATGGACATTTTCTTGCCTCATGATGTGATAACTATAGCACAATTGGAACATAATTGGGTGGTTTACAAGCATTAAATAATGCTACAAATAGAAACTACAAACGAGCCAAAATGTTTCAGCAGTGCTCATCTCCTATGGCAATTCCGAAGTGTCAGTGGAAGTACTACATTTAAATGAAATGGCCAATTTCTCCATAGGAGAACCAATGTTTCCCACAAAGTGGTAGCTAATTTATCAGCCCTGCAGAATTGATGAAGACGGGCTCATCCCACCATGAACCTGAAGTTAAACTCACAAACTTGTGCTTGTGAGTCAAGTGCCCAGCTCACAGCACCACGTTGGCCACCTAGAGGTCAGCAACCCAAGCCAAGGTGTTGATGAGACAAGAGGAGATCTGCGATGCATTTGTCGACATTGCATTCTTCTTTATTTGACTGAGTGGAGCGGAGGCTGTGCTGACTGAGCCAGGGTGACCCGGGGGAATCTGGCAAGGGAGCATCCTTCAGGGGTCCATAACCCTCCTCACAGGGGCCCCCCTTTGGAGTCCTACTCACTCCCACTGGGATTCTAGCGGGGACTCGACTGAGGCTGGACCAGATCCCTCTGTGCATCCCCATGCTCACGACGAGGCTAAACCTCCAGCGTCCAACACCCATAGGAGACAATGCGGTCAGGGGTCACAGGATGGAAGTCTGGATCAGCATCTCCAGATTCGGTTTCAGTTCCTGGTTGCACTCGTTCACCGTGATCGTGTAAACTTAATTTAAGTTTTAAGTTGTTCACAAAATCA